ATGTTTGGAAGCCAGGCTGCAAGTGATGGGTCCCAGGTCTGCAGTGCTGGCATGGTCTGGGTCATGTATTTTATTTTTATTTTTTTCATAGATTTCATAGACGTTAGGGCTGGAAGGGACCTCGGATGATCATCGAGTCCAGCCCCCCGCCCCAGGGGCAGGAAGCCAGCTGAGGTCACAGGATCCCAGCAAGAGAAATGTCCAAATGTTTCTTAAAAGAGTCCAGAGTAGGTGCTTGCCTCATTATTATCATTATTATTATTATTGTTATTATTAATAAATGTATTTTGTATTCCAGTTCAAAGTAGCCAAATCAGTTCCAAACCGTATCGATTGAGCAGAACTCAGTTGTTCCAAAAACCGTATCGCCTGAGCAGGCAGAAACTCAATCCTGCCAAACAACGTGTATGTACGGCGCTACAACCGGGGAGTACCCTCCATCCCAGTCCTATCACCCAGGGGCTTCAGATGCTCCCAAATCCATTGGCAGGCATCCTACTTGCAGGCCCGAGCCCAGAGGGCTTGGGGTTCGGATGCCCCCAGGTACTACAGGCAAGCATCCTCCATCCCAGACTCTTTAGTCTGGGACTTCAGATACTCCCTACACTTGATCTTCTGGGTCATGCATGCTGCATGCAGGCCCCGTGGGCACAGGTGCTCAGATGCCCGCTAGTTCTGTCTTTCCCCCCACGGTGCTGATTTACCTTCCAGGGAAGGGGAAGCGTTACCCTCTGGCCCTGGAGAGAAGCCCATGCAGTTCAGTGGAAAGGCTCCACGTGACTCCAGAGGGGTTTTGAATATGGGCATCGGGGCAGCGGTGGGACACCACTAATGTGGCCGCTTGCTGGGTCTGCTCCTATGGCTCTGAAGGCATTGTTCATGGGAGGAGATGGCTCACAAGGCCAGCTCCCCAGGGACTGGCAATTGCATTGGGGGCTGCCAGTCAGGGCTGCATTGCAGGGGCTGAGGACCCTGGGAGCAGGACTCAGCATGCAGTAGAGCAGCAGGGCCCACCTTCCCTGGCTATCACGGTCCAGCGTCACCAGCATCCCACCCCACGCCTGCCGCGAGGAGAGCAGCAGCTGGGGAATCCTTCTGCCACGTGCACCCCAGGCACAGATTCCTCCCGGCTCACTAACCAGCCACGAACCTGCTTTCCCCGGCGGTTCTGCACACCCTGGCATACCTAACATGACATCAGAGCGGGATAATTAGTGCTGTGTAACCGGTTTGGTGCTGCCTAACGAGGGCGTCACTATGGAGACTGGGAGGGGATCGAAGCAGCAATTTCCAGTGAAGAGTGGTGACAAGTTTGCCTCTATTTTCCGAGCCAAAGGGCTCAGCTTCCTCTTTGCCTTGCAGAATCCAGTAACCCTCACACCTCTTGCGCTGTGCATCCCTGCAGCTGTGCCCTGCACAGACGTGCCTGCCCAGCCTGGGCTCGCAGCAAGGGCCTTGGCCTTGGCATGGATGGGATCCAGCCCTAGCTCGTGATGGACCTGCAGGCCTCCTTGCCCGTGTGAAACAAGCTGAGCAGCATTTGACCCCGTCCACCCCAGCCACCCACAGGCAGCAGAAACCAGTTTATCAGGAACCTTCTTGACTCCCTTGTTAAATAAGGTAAAAAACCACGGAAAGGGCAGAGCCCAGGGAGCAGGGAACTGGCTCTGCTCCCTCTGACCTGCAAAGGGACATCTCATCCGGCTGCCAGACTCGCGGCGGGGAGCGACCTGGAGAGGCTCAGGTGTGGGGAAGGAGTGAAAAGACTGGTGCTGCTCGATGTAGGCAAGTAGCACGCACAGACCTGGCGGGAGGAAAGTAGCTGGTGGTGCCCTGGCCACATGGCAGCGTTCAAGGAAGGGTCAGGGAAAAGAGAGCGCTTGCAGGGCCGTGAGGCAGGACGAAGCTGAGCCCCTCGGCCTGAGCTGCTCCGTGCCTGGGAACTTCCCCTCCGGGCAGCTTGATGTGCAGGATGTGGTCACGGGCACCCCCAGACAAGCAGGGCCTGGCAGGTCAGGGCTGGGACAGCAGCGGGACAGAGACGGCTGCAGCCCACAGCCCTGCCTGCCTCTTTTCTCTTCCTCTTTAAATTGGGGAAGTGCCAGGGAGGGGTCAAGCCAGGAGTCATGGGACCCCCTGGAAAAGTCATATGCTCCTTTGCAACCATTTGGGGTTGGCGAGAAGAGCTCAGCTGCAACCTGGGGCGCGCCGCCTGCCACCCCAGCTCACAGAGCGGCACTGGGGCCCCTGAAGCCCCATCCCTAGCTGGAAGCATGGTAGAAAAAAGGACTGCAGTTGCAACACGGACGCGGGGGCCACGCTCAGGTCCCCGGTGCCTGGGATGGCGCGTGGGCACCTCGGCTGGCTACAAGCAAGACTGACCGACAACTTACTAGGGTGTCACCCAGTGCAAACCAGTCACGGCCAAGCCAACATGCAATGGTGGAGAGCAAACGGCAGACGGGTCCTTCCTGTGTATCCCAGCCACAGCCCGGGAGAGCAACCCCCAATGGTTTCACAATCCCCAGTGCTTCTGCAGACAGTTACTGGAATACATGTGGCTTGGGTCACTTCTTGCAATATTTCCGGTCGTATCCACCAGAAGGGGCAACATCCTTCCAAGGAAACCTGGCTGCAGTCCCTGGAGCAAGAAGGAGCTTGTGTTTCACAGCCAGCGGGGCTAGAGATTCACCTCCAACCCAGCCAGAAAGCAGCCTTATTATAACCTTACATTCCTCCGCTTATAACTTGCATTTCCCAGGAAGCCAGTGGGTTAGGGTTTTCCCTTAAAAGACGCAGCATTGGGGCATCCATCATCCATCTGGCCAGAAAAGGCTGGTTTGAGGGACCCTGGAAAATCTTCCCCTGAAAACTACTGATGTGTCAGGGATTTCCAAAGATTGTATTAGCTGACCCCATGAAAGCAGGCAGAGCTGGTGGGAAGCACTGAGGGGACATGTGGGCACCAGGAGTTCTCCCGAACTAGGACGAGGGGGCATCGTGCTCAGAGCCTGACTGAGGCCCTGCTGCAGGGCTCGAGCTGTCTTTCTTCCCATACGCGGAGTCCAGCGGTTGTCCCTTCTCCCCAGCCTGCGGCCAAGGATGGCCATGCGATGCATGTCGCTGCAGAGCGCGAGCTCGGCCCTGCTCCCCCGGGGGGAAGGCTCTGGCTGTCCCTAATCAGGACCCTTCTGGGGGTGGCACCAGAGGTGCCCACTCTGTCCTGCTGCAGCTCAGAGCAGCCCCTGCTCCTCTTCTTCCTCTGTCTCGATGGCCTTCAGCAATGGCCCATCTCTTCCTGCCAGAGCCCCTGGCTTGCTTTCCAAACCCCTGCTTCCGGCTCCCCAGATGTTCCCTTGCCACAGGCCATGTTTAGGGTTGCTAACTCTTACCAAAACTATCCCAGATTTTTTCCCCCCAACAAGATGTAAAGTCATTAATAGTATTTTCTTAAAATATCCTATTCAAATCTTTAATAGTCACGAGAAGATTGATGCAGGTCCGGGAAGGTTCACAACCCTAGCCATGTTCCCAGGCTCCAGATTTGTGCAGCCTCTGCACGCCTAACAAGGCTCCCACAGAGAGGGGCAAGCCCTGAGGACACACAGAGCCACTCCTCCCCATCCAGAGTGGAGCCTGCCTGCCCTGATCTGGGCTTTTTTGCTGGGTGGGGAGGGCACCTGGGGCTCTGGGCTCTTTGGGGTGACCTGATGTTCCCTTCGTGGCAGCCCTAGGCAGGGCCATGTTCTCACCCCCTGCAAAGTGCTCTGCTCAAGAGCGCCTCTTGTCTGTCTTCAGTCCCAGCCTCATGCCCCTGGCATGGGTAGCTCTGCATTGCCCACACAGCCCCAGCCATGCTGCCGTCCCTGTAGCCGCTACCTCTGGGGACCCCACACTGTGCTGCCCCCACACACCATTGCACCTTTCTTTGAGGGACCTCCAAATAGCCACTGCGCCGCTGTCTCCCCGGCACCTGCTGCAGTGGGCTCTCCCCAGCGGTCCTGGCACTGCAGGTATTGGAGCCCACGCAGCCCCCCGGCCCCACACCACCGGTGCTGCAAGGTGTGCATGGAGACAGCTCTTGGCCCAGGGGTGTATCCTGCTCATGGTGGTGGTGACACCGCGGGCAGGATTGAGCATACTAGGGCACAGCTGGCTCTGGGGTGTCTACCTGCGCTGGGACACTGGGATCCAGGGAGTCCCTCTGGGAGCAGGCAGCAGTGGTAGGCTGTTATCCGTCGTGCGGGAAGGCTACCGCGCACTGCTCACCTCTCTGCTACATAAGCAAAGAGCCAAGGCAGGAGCCCCCAAGCTGCTGAGACGTCTCTGCCATGGTCCTCACAGAGCAGAACACCACTGCTTCGTACAGGGAGTGTAATTATCCCCATTTTACAGACAGGGAAATGAGGACACGGAGGGACCAGGGCCCCTCTTCTCAGTGCGCTGTCATTGTGGGTGCCTTAGACCTGCACGCCCTGGTGAGACGGGGAGAATGGCCCCTTCCCACCTCGCAGGCGGAGAAGCAGAGCACCGGGGATGTAGCTGCTCCCAGGACAGCCCTGCTGTCACTTCTGAGCTGGCGCTGAGCTGCCGCCCTTTCTTTGCCATTTCAGGTTCGTAGGCTGTAAGGCCGGAAGGGACCTTTGAAGGTCATCAGGCCCAGCCAAGATGCAACCTCCGGGCTCTGAACAGGCTTGTTCTTGTTCTCAGTGGCCCGCACAGCCCCGGAGCTGCCCCCTCTGAGCCCATGAGGGCCCACATGCCCCCTCTCGCTGCTGCGTGCCCAGCCGTGCCCATGCCCCCATGTGCCTGGGGCCCTGTCTCCATTTCAAATTTGCCGGATGAGAAGCATTGGTGTGAGCTCAGCGCTGGCCCCAGCTCACTTCTGGTGTGACTCATTCACCAAGCAGCGTGCTGCTGCTGCGATAAGTGTGCGAGGGAGGGCGGGAGCAGGGAGGGAAGGAGGGGAGGCGACCGCCAGTCACTGCACAGAGGCAGCGCGCCCGCCTGCTCCTGGAGAAACCCAACTGCACGCTCCAGAGAGGGAACTTGGAGGAAGCACGGCCAGGAAGGCGCTCGCTGCTCGAGGGACAGCGTGGCCCCCAGGTAAAGCCGTCTCAGCCCTTCCTGCCCTTTGCCCTGCAGGTCAGGAGGCTATGTCAAGTGGGAGATGGGGTCTGGAGCCACGGCGGGGTGGGCTCCTGCCCTGCCCTGGTCTCACGCTCCCGGCATCCCTGTGCAATCAGAGCATGGGAGCAGCATTTGCCGGAGGGTGTGCCGTGGCGGGAACTCTGGCTGCAGCTGGCAGAGCGAGGCATGAGACCCAAGGCGGGCAGGGGCTGAGGGCAGGGGAGCGGAGGAGACTCCCTGCCCTGGGGGCTCTGCTTTTGGGCTGAGAAACACCCCTCTTCTCTGAGCAGCCTGCCCAGGGCAGCTGCCTGCTCCACACCACTCCTGTCAAGCCCACGCAGCTGGCTGGCATAGGGGCTTGACTTGCCCCGCAGAGGGGGAGGCTGCCCGGGCACCTGGAGGGGCATGAGCCCTGACCGAGCGGGGCTCCCCGCACCCAGGCCGATCCAGAGCATGCTGGCAAGTGCCAGGGCTGATGGCTCCCCGATTCAGGCCCCCCCCCAGTCCTGCAGGATGCCGATCGGAGCTGGCAGCCGGTACGGTGCCAACGGCCCTGCAAACAGGATGTCGGTCTCATCCCACACCCCGGCCCCCGGCCCCTGCAGTGCTCTGTGCCTGGCCTGGGGAATGGGCTGCGCCGGGGGGTGCCAGGGACCGGGCTCTGGGACAGCTTCCAGGGCTCGGCGTGGGTGCAAACGAGGCGCATCTTGCTGAGGGCTGTGCTGGGGACAGAGGCTTGGCAGGGGTGGGCTGCAGCCAGGGAGATGCCCTTAGGCTCCCCAGTGCGCCCAGCCGTGCCTCCATGACTGGGACGGACGGACATGGCCCGGGCTGGGCAGAGGGAGCAGGGCAGGGGCTGAGCCGTGTGCCTGGTGCGCAGGGAGGGAGAAGTGCTTCGTGAAGCCAGGCAGCATAAGGACCCACAGACGGGGCAGCACAGCCCAGGATGGACACCGGGGTTTCTCCCCCGCCTCCCCTTCCCCTCGGTGGATGACACAGTCCCAGGAGCCAGAAGCGGCACTTCCCAAGGACTCCTGCTGCGCACGCTGATCCCCGCGGCTTCCAACATAGGGCAGCCGGGTTTTATATCCCCTGCAACCCAGGACGGGTCACCGCCATCCTCCTACCCGCCCCCTGCATGGCACAGAGCCAGCCTCTCCTTTCCAGCTGAGCCAGCGCGTGCATTTGGAAAGACGCATCCTTCCTTGCTTCCAGGCCCTCGAGTGGATCACACCCGACACCCGCGGGCGGCTGGAGTCGCCTCCCCAGGCCAGAGCCATGGTGAACGTCAGGGGGGTGAGGCCCTGCGTGTGTTTGCCCCCGTCCCATCGTGTGCGGCTGATCGGGAGGCGGGCTGCTGCAGAAGGTGCCCCGCAGCCTGGCACGCAGAGAAGGGGAGCGGGCTCCTTGCCCCGAGCCCGCTACTCCACAGCGCCTTTCCTAAGAGGGTCCGGAGAGCAGGAGTCCCTTTTACCCGTCAGAGCCATGCACGGCCCTGCTCCAGCGCAGGCCCCTGGGCTTGCAGCAGGGCTTCTTTAATCTATCAAATCAACCCATGTGACTGGAACAGCCAGGGTCCGGTGCCTCGGAGCAGGTACGGGATGCTACAGGCCTGCCAGTCTGCTCCCAATGGCCTCCGGGGTCTGATAACACCTGTTGAAGGAAAGACACGGCTGGAAACAAAAGTGAGATAACAGGCAGTGTGGCTTCATGAAAAGGTAGCCGGTACCAGGCTAGTCTGGGATCTTAGATAAGATAACTCAGGTTTTAAAGAGAAGTGCGGTCCACATAACTGCTCTGGCCTTTGCTAAAGCCCTCAGGGGACACTCGTCCAGCAAAACAGGAAAAGGACGACGGGGTGAGGAAGGGCCGAAAGCGGCAATGGCCGGGCACTGAGCTGGGGTGCCGGAGGGAGGCTGCAAGGGGCAGCTCCTCCAGACTCGGCCTGGCGCCCCTTCAACATGACCATTTCCATGCGCGTCCCCAGGAACAGACGTGTTCGCCTGACGTGGCACAAAGGTGGGAGAAGCAACCTGCCCGAGGGGCCGGGAGCCGTGGGAAGAGTGCAGTGACTGCGAGGGCCAGGGTAGGATGCTTTCTCATGGAAAGGGGACAGACGTTGCGCTCGGGGCAATAGGCAGAGGCTCTGCCGGGACCCGGGAGCAGAACTGCTCTGTCTGCGCGCTCGGGGCTAGCACCACGCAGAGGAAGCAGGGCCGGGGCAGAGCCGTCCCCAGGGACCTCGTGCACTGGGGGGATCTAAGATGGCCTGAGCGTGCCGATCCCTGGGGGACTGGAAACATCCCTCTGCGCTGGGGATAGCCCCCACCCTGGCCTCAGGGGCCAGGGCCCATCGCAGCCAGCAGCCCCTCGCCCCAGCCAGGGCTCCCACGGGCGGCCCCTGCCCCTGCTCTCTGAGGATCTCCCTGGGCAGCTCCTCCGTAGCCACAGAGGTTGTTAGCGGCTGACCCCGTCCGCCCATATCGCCTGGTGGTGCCAGTAATCCAGAACGAAAGGCCCTTGGGGTCGGGAGCAGCCAATGCCCAAGAGCAGCAGCATATGCTTGCTGCAGCCCAGGCATGACGCCTGAGCTTGGCGGGGTGAACACGTCCCCATGGCTGCTCCAGGGAGGGTGGAGCGTGCGAAGCCCTTTGGAGCAACAACGGGTTCTGCAGCAACGAGCGCACGCGTGGCGACCGCTGCGGCTCCCTGCACCGGGGCGGAGGGGCTGCTCCCTCGCCCTTGCTCGAACCCAGGACCATGCCGCCAGCCCTGCCAGCAACTTCCCCTGCAATCAGTGAATACCATGCTCCTCCCTGAGCTTGGTGGGGTGCTTTTAACCCATTAGACATCAATGCGGACGTGATGCGTTTGGCCTGCTCCGCCTTTTCCTTCTGTTTTCTTTCCTGATGAGGATGAACTTGACCTTAATGGCTGTACCCCGCTCCCCACCCTGCTCCGGAGCCCAGAAGCCCCTGCTCTTGTCGGCCCCGGGGTACCCTGCCAACAGCAGCCGGTTGTGAGCAGGGAAGGCAAGGCCATCGTCTGCCTATAACCTCAGCTGGCACCTGCCGAGCTGCTGCAGCCCCGGGTTTCTCAGGCAGTCCTCCCCTGTCTTTCCACGGGGAGAAGGGAAGAGACGGTGGCAATCTCTGCACAGCGCTTTGGGAGGGAAAAATGCTCACGACGTGCAACGACACAGCCACTGGCTCAGGTCTCAGCGGCCCCAACACGCTTCTGTGGACAGGGAGTTGCGTGGACATCCAGGCAGTGCTATGGTCCGGTCCTGCTTCGTGTACGTGTGTACTCGCAGTGAGCAGACTCCCGGCGCTGGGGAGGGGGTTTCGGCTACATCTACCCCAGTGATTTCCGCTCTTGCCACAGTGGACAATTCAGTGTGCGGATACCATCACCCCTGCAGACAGCGGTCCCCCGGGGGGGTATTGCTATGAGCCAAGCGATTGCAGGCATTGCTGCCCTCCATGGCACCTGCGTTCCTGAGCCTAGGACGAGACCGTGGCAGGGGAGCTCTTCATGTCACAGATGGGTCACAACAGTGGTTATTGTTCCTGTGTAATTCATTAGCCCAGGTCTAATTCTGTCATTTGCTCTTTGAGCACAATAGAGCTCAGTGCGGAAGGGTCTCATTAACTGGCAGGACTCCACTCCCGCACATCGCGAGCACCTGGCTTGCTATTAAAAGAAGTTACCGTATCATCCAAGGAGCCTAAAAGGACCCCCGTCCCGTGGCACCATCATGACCACAACCTGTGCAGCTGAATCCAGTAACTCCTTAGATTTCACAGACTATTCTGGGTCCATACGTGCGCAGCTCAGAGGCAGGATCCGTCCGCTCCCGTGGTCAGACTGGTATGGACTGGGCGAGGGGGGTTGCCTTCCTCTATAGTGAGGGTATGGGCTCTTCCTGGGGTCTCTTGAGTGTATTTTAACAACCTTTGCTGCAGCAGGACATTGGCCGCTGCGGTCCCCCTGCTTTGGTGGGCGCAGGATGGGGTGTGATGGCTGGTGCTGTGTCAGATCTGGCTGTAGTTTTGCTAAGGGGATTTGTATAGGATGGTCTGGACGGGGTTGGCCCTGCCTCGGGCCGTCCAGCCCGACTCACCTACGATTCTCGGACTCTGCGCTGGACTCTTGCTCTACATAGCAGTAGCGTTTCCTTAATGAGGGTTGGCAGCTCTTGCTCAAGCCAGGCTCAGGACTGAGCTGGCAGGTGCTGTGCATCGGGCTAAGCACTGGCAGCATCAGCAGCAGTGCCTCCATGTCTGCAGCATTTGGTCTTGCCACGCGCTAGTATTGCAATACTGGCAGCCCCGGATGCTGGCGTGCTGTGGTCATGGGTGCACCGTGGCTGCTCATTTCAAGGGGAAAAACCAAATTGCAGCTTTGGAGAGGAGCCCAGACATCACAACGTCTAGAGGCTGCAGGGGAGAAGGCAGAGCAGCCCCAGGCTCGGGGCAGCTCGCACTGTCTGAAGGGCACCGGTCACTGTGCTGTGCCCGGGCAGCTGACCTGACGCTGGTTCCCCGGAGCTCCCAGCTGGAGACATCACAGGTGCCAAAGCAAAAGCAAATCATGCAGATCTTCTGTGCAAACAGCCCAGAGCTGGTGTTGGCCTGGAAGGGGTCCTCAGTCCCCCCCAGCTGCATTTGCCTGGCAGAGCCCAGAACAGGAGCCATTCTCTCGGAGACCAAAGGTGGGAGTGCTCTGGGCTGCCAAAATGCCCCCCACGAGGCTCCTTGCATTCGCACGGGTTCCTGGGGCTGCCTGGGCCCAGCACAGGAAGGCAACAGTTGTTCCAGCTGTGAAAAACAAGGGAAGTGGTTACTACCAGCTGGCGATTTTGACCACAAGGAAAGATTCCCTCCCCGACCATGGAGGACACCCAAGGAGGCTATAGTTCAGGTCCAGGCAGCCAGCTGGGCCAGCTCAGGGCAGTGGGGCTGTATCGGTAGAAGTGCGCTCAGGAGTCAGCAGCCAACAGGCTTGGCAGGAGCAGCCCGGGTCTGGGCAGCAGGCAGCTTCGGCAGGCATAGCCTGTGCCCAGGTCAGGTGGGGATGGGTCTGCCCCTGCATACGCTGCCTGGTTTTGTGCGTCTGCTCCTGTCAGGGAGATGCTGAGGGTGGAAACTGCCTTGCCTGGCTCTGGGGGAGCTGGGGAAGGGCATGGGGAGTGGGCACGGGGCTTGGGGCGAGCTCTTTGCAGGGTCTCTGTCCTGCCTCTGGAGGGGCTGCTGCCCTCGCCGGGCTTCCCTGGGCAGCTGCGACAGCCTTCCCAGATTGCACGCTGCGTGGTCTCCCCTGCCCCCTGCCTCGCTCACAAGCCCCGGGCCTGACCCTTGCATTTCCCTTCCCTTGCAGGCTCTGACCCCCGGACGCTGCTGCAGGTTGTGCCCCCTCCTCCTGCCAGATGGACTGGCCAGGAGCAGCGAGGTAGCAGCAGCTCGCGCGGCGCCCAGCCCAGCCATGCCAACGGAGCCAGGCAGAGCTGAGACTCCGCAGCACCCGGCCCCCGTGGACCTCTCGGAGCCGAGGGGCAGGACGGCCAGGAAGAGGGAGAGGCTGAGAACCGGAGAGCAGCCTGGGCCTGTGACGGACAGTAACGGTGCCACAGCTGGTGCACAGGTGGGCGGCAGCAGCCTGCTCTAGGTGCCCAGCAGCCTTGCTCCTGGGCTCCCAGCGCTGAGCCTCGCTTTGCCCCGGCCCCTGCAGAGCTCAGGCCGTGCTGGGTCCCATGTCAGCCCGGCTGGGAGAGAGCCATGCCCAGTGCTCCTTCGCCATGGGCTCCTGCCTGAACCAGACAGGTGCTGCGGAGGGCATCGCTGGGGCGGCGCTGGTGGGGTCCGTGCTGGTGGCACTCATCTTGGTGACCATCTGCGGGAACGTCATCGTCTGCCTGGTGGTCACCCTGGACCGCCAGCTGCGCAGCCTCACCAACTGCCTCATCGTCTCCCTGGCCACCACCGACCTGCTGCTGGGGCTGCTGGTCCTGCCCTTCTCGGCCATCTACGAGCTCACCAAGGACTGGCCCTTCGGCACTGTCCTGTGCAACATCTACACCAGCCTGGACGTCATGCTGTGCACGGCCTCCATCCTCAACCTGCTCATGATCAGCCTGGACCGCTATTATGCCGTGACCAAGCCGCTGCGCTACACCCAGCTGATCACGCCGTGCCGCGTGAAGCTGGCCCTGGTCGTCATCTGGGCCGTGGCACTGATGGTGTCCTTCCTGCCCATCCACCTGGGCTGGAACGCCAGTGGGCAGAGCACCAACAACATCACGGTGTGCCAGCTGCAGGTCAATGCCTTGTACGGCCTGGTGGACTCGCTGCTCACCTTCTACTGCCCACTGATCGTCATGTGCATCACCTACTACCGCATCTTCAAGATCGCCCGGGAGCAAGCCAAGCGCATCAACCATACCAACAGCTGCCTCGCCACCGGCCCCTCGCTGGTGAAGGAGCATAAGGCCACGGTGACGCTGGCGGTCGTGCTGGGGGCATTCATCATCTGCTGGTTCCCCTACTTCACCGTGTTCACCTACCGGGGGATGATGGGTGACGACGCGGTGGACTGCATGCCCAAGTCCATTGTCCTGTGGCTGGGCTACGCCAACTCGGCCCTGAACCCCATCCTGTACGCTGCCCTCAACCGGGACTTCCGCTCAGCCTACCAGCGCCTGCTGCGCTGCCGGCGGCGGAGCGGCCTCTCCCACTGCCAGCCCCTGACCTTCGCCTATGCACCCCGCCGCAGGGGCCGGGCCGGCCAGCGAGCACTGAGCGTGCAGCAGGAGAAGCCCCTGAGGTTGCAGGTGCGGAACGGCAGGGAGAGCTCGCTCGCTCGAGGAGCCAAGGAAAGGTATGGCTTGCCCTTGCAAGCGGCTGGGAGCTGGGAGCGGGGCCGGGGGAGGTGGCCAGAAGAGCATCACACTGAGCTATGTCCAGAGTCGGGTCAGAGGACACGGCCCAAGGCACGGGGCATACCCCGAGCGAGCTTAGCTGCCCCTGCAATGAGCCTGTGGCTGGCTGGGTCTTGCATGGTGGCTGCTCGGTTTCCCCCTGGTCACCATGGGCAGAGCTCACTCCTTGTCTCAGATGGAGCAAGCTTGCTCCCCTGACTCGGACTGCGGGCACCCGGCATGTACCCTCCGGGTGCACCGCAGGGCTTGTGCAGGTGCTGGGCTGGGCATCACGCATCCACTTGGCTGTGGTGCCGGCACTGAGACGGACTGCCCACCACCAGTGAGCTGCCCCTTGGGCATGTGCATGATGTTGGGTTGTCCATGGGGGAGCTGCAGGGCTGGGCTGGCTCAGGGGCAGCTGTTCACACCAGCGGGCAGGGCTGGAGCCCCTTGATGTGTGTCCCAGTGCTCCGTCCTCACCCTCACATGATGCCTGCGTGCATGCATGGATGCTGGCCCCCGGCAGCCTGAGCAGCACAGCACTGTTGATAGCATGGGGGCCTGTTATCAGCAGCTGTGCAGGTGCAGCACGTGGAGGTGATGGTGACCTTGGCCGGCTCAGCAGAGGCATCTCACCAGTTGCCCCCATTCGGTCCTGGGGAAAGAGCAGGGCTGCTCCCGGGTGCAGAAGCCCTGCGGGCGCAGCAAGGCTGAAAGCGAGAGAAGGAAGTGCAGCATGTGGCTTCAGCTACCGCACCGCACAGAGCCGATGCTGGGAGCACGCGGCACCTTCCTTCCGGGGGAAGCACGAGCCGCAGCGTCACTGTGCACCCAGCTGCCTCGCCAGCATTAACAGAGCCTCCCTTGGCGCCGTGCCGGAGGGGCCGGCAGGGCATGCACCCTACGCTCAGGAGCACGGAGCCGCCTAACCCAAACCAGGCGGGAGGTCCAGGCAGGGCAGCTACTCCCCAGACTGCTCCAGCCTCAGCACTGACCCCCCCACAGCTGGTCCCCACTGGAAGGGGACCCTGGAAGTGCCCCACAGCAGGGCTCCAGCCTGCCCCAGCCCCGGGCCTTTGCCTTGAGGGGGTCCCCCCTTCCCCTGCCCCTGCCCCTGCCCCTGCCCCTGCCCCCGGAGGGGGTGCAGCCCGGCCTGCGGCCTGGTTCTGGGGGTGCTGGTGCTGAACGGCCCATGTCCTCCCAGCACAGAGAAGGAGACCGTGTCCTTCCAGAGAAGCAGACCTGGCTGAGGACACAGCACTTGCCAGGCACAAGGGGAAGAAATGCCCGGGATTTTAGCTGTGACAGCTGCAGGGGCTGCACTGATCTAGGCCAGGCAACAACAGCAGCTTCCCATCCCACCTTCGAGCCTTAGACACGCAGCCCAAAGTGCACGAGAGGCCCCTCCGTGCAGCGGCACAGGCAACACTGGGGGATAGGGAGTATCTGGCGGGCAGGCAAGCTCCTGCGTCTGCGGGGCCTCTGCCCGCATCTCGG